GGCGTCTTGGTCACTCTGCCTCGCTACCTTCGCGGTTAGGAGAAGTTGATGACCCAGAGCTCTGTTTAGAATAATTGGCTTGATCTATGCTGTATTAGACTATTTGTTAGGGATTAAATACTTTTCTGTGTTACTGATGCAAAAGACGTGTGCTTCTGATCATTCCTGAGCCCATCAACGAGCACCCCAGAAGTCCGCCAAGGTATTTGATTATTGGTCAAATAGTGTCGTGGAAATTCCGCCTTCAGTTCCGATTGGCAAAAGGAATACAGTATATCATCTGTGAATATACTGAAATTTCATTCGGATTCGACGTTTTTATTCCAATTGAGGTGTTTATATTGAGCATTTTCATCGTGTTTTGTCATCCAGATAAACTCTAATCGCAATCCATGGCTCCATGTAAACCCGGCAATTGGAGTGCTCCTTTAAAAAAAAAAAAACAAGAGTGGGTGAGGAAAAAAAAAAAAAAAACAATTCCAAGCTTTGCTCCTGTGTGGGAGGGGCACAGAACCTGATGTTGCGGGGAAGTGGGGGTAGGGGGGGTAATCTTTTGCGACAGCCACATGAATAGGAGATTTAAACAAGCCAACTCAATACACACGTGGTAGGGGATGGGAGTATTGGGTTGATGCCAGACATAACAGCACAAACGCACTTTCCAGCAGCTGTGGCATATCAAGGTGAGCGGATCCACAGCACACCTCAACTGTCACTGGAGGGGAGGAGAAGGGTTGGGGGGAGGAATGAGGGTGGGAAAACACGGTCTTTGAAATGTCAAAATGTCCTGTTTCCATAACACATTTCCCTATACTTAAAAAGCATTTCTTCCTTTTTTCAAGCTCATTTCAGTGACATTGGTCATGCCGATGAACATAGTTTTCCATTTTTTGTCATTCACCTAAGAGAAGTAACTAATATTTAATGACATTGAAATAATTGTATACAATCCCCAAAAAATACTTGTACATTTTGATAATAAAACGACCTTATTTTTCCGGTTTAGGCTATGTCATCAAATCCCGATTTTTTTAATTTGGCAAAAATACTTAATAATACTACAAAATGATTAGGATCTGAGAACGGGCTAAAGCTAGGGTAGGGTTAGATTTCTTAAAATTAAGTTTGTAACTATGTAAGTATAATGCAAGCAGATAAAACAAAAACACAAAATGCACATGAACTTTTGTTTTTTAAAATTGATTGATATCGAAACAATGATTATTGAAAGCATTCAAATACTTAAAACCCACACATTTTGCAGAAATATTTTTTAATGGCAGAAAATGGTCGAAAAGTGTTGTGTAATAGTTGCATGGATGACAGAATGGGCAGTGGTAACCGAATCACAAATCTCACATCTCAAAGTGTTAAATCTTACAGTATCATGCTCAATTGTGCTTTCAGAAACAACAGTTCCTCTCTCCTGCCTACACATTTGCAGATCCAGTAGCAGTATTAGAATACATCATTTTTTTTACTGGTCAAATAAAGCCCTCAGCCCACATGGAACAAAGGAACACAGGCTTCATAAATGGTGAGGATGAAAAAAAGATGATTTTGCCTTCTGAATCAGGCAAAAAAGACAGACCTTTATTCGACAAACAGTGATTCTCATTTGCAGCTTTTCCTTGGAGTGCCTATACACCAACAATATCATGGAGTTGTTATTTGAGAGCACTTGAAGAGAGTGTGCTTGGACAATGGCCGACACCGGCTGGCCCTGGTGCTTTGGTGTGGTTGGCCTCTGGCTGCAGTTTACCTCTGAAGGGAGGATGAAGTAGAATAAAGTACAGAGTACAGTAGATGGAGAGCTAACAAAACCGCAAGGCCAAGGGGTAAACATAGAGGGAGATATGCAGAAGTCAAAGTAAGTACTGTATTGTCATGATTATGAAAAGAACAGTGCATGACCCAAGACATGTACGTAGCTTTCAGTGACCGTATTAACAGAATGACTCATTAAACTGATTAGGTTTGACTTGGACTATTCAAGCGAATCAGTGTTGTGGTTGGGTTTCATTTTTGATCTCCAGTGTCTGTGGTACATCGATGGAATGCAGCATTATCTTAATATGCAATATTTAAGATGGCTGGCTCTCGTGTATAGGCCAACAGCCAAGGACTATACAAAGAGACCGTCATATTGTATTGTAATCATAAGATGTTTTGATTTTACTCTTCACATGCAGGGGGAAGGAAACAACACCGGGGGTCAGCAGTGAGGCACTGCCTCCCTTGTCTACGCTAGCCGCACATCCCAGACTATTTGATACAGTGCAATGAAATGAGCCTGACACAAGGAAAAACAGAGTTGAAAGACAATTTGTCATAAGTGATATTGTATAAATCCTTGTGACTGAGATACCCCTTGGATTGTTCACAAATTCCATAGTTACTTGTCAAATAATGGGACACAATTTTTGTTTCTGGCATTTCAAAAATTTTACATAAGGGGCAAAATATGCATTTTTTCCGTCGCCTCTCATTTTGCCTTATCCTCCTCATCATGGCGCACCTGCTTTTCAGACACGGTGTTTTAGCCCCCAGAAATCAGCTGTCATAATTCATCACAAGTTTGCTAAATCACATTGCGTGCGCTAAATTAATATGTTTGCATATTATGCTACCAGAATGTGCAGCAATTTTGCCCATATGGTAGATGCAATCTTGGGCACGCCCGCTAATTAAATTAGCTTGCACGTACGTCGCTTTACGTGAGTAACCAAGTTTACGCTTGTTATTGCACGTGCGAACGTAAAGTAAATCAGGCCCTTAGAGGTTTCATTGAACCCAAAATACAGTCTTTGGACTGCGGGAAGAATCTCTAGTAGAAAACAGTAGACCTGAGCACAAGGAGAACTAACTCCGCACAGACCCGGTATTCACGCAGTGCAAAATATAACTACATTCAATAATTTGGGGGAACTACATTTGCATGAAGTGGAGTGAATTTATTGCACATCAAACATATCACCAATGTCCCAAACAGGACCAGAAGGGAGCTGATGAGCTCTGGAAATTGCAGCAAGAACTCTTTTCTGTTTCTGTGTTAAGTCATTCAGCAGCAGACACCGCAAGCCATGATACCTGTTCTTTCGGCATGACCATGACAAGAGTGAGGAGATGGCAGCAACTGAACAATCAAAATCCCCATTTAGCAGATGAGCTTCCAAATGACCTCTTGGAAAAGGAATGAGACGCAGCCATCTTATCAGAACTATTTGTGTCTACTTCCTTTGTTGCCCTTGACTCACATCATCTCCTTTTTTTCTTCTCACAGATTCTCAGAATCTCTTTAGCACATTTAATATTGAGTATCATGCTGTCTCAGCGTCATCTTTGAAAAGTGACAGTCCAGTGAAATGTCATGCATACATGTATTTTCCGTACAGGATATTAACATGAAATCATTTCTCTCCCTCATTCACTCACTCACTCACCTCATCAGGTACACCAAGAACCTTTATATCAGGTGTCGCCAATAGTCCCCAAAGACCAGTTAAGTAGCCTGTGAGCCTCTTCTAATCACAGCTCACCATTTGTGTGTGTGTGTGTGTGTGTGTGTGTGTGTGTGTGTGTGTGTGTGTGTGTGTGTTAAAAGAATAGCTGCATTTATCACTGTATCAAATATTTTTGGTTGCTATTCTTTTTAAATCACTCTTGCATTTGTGTAAATTTGATAATAACAATATGGGGGTGGGGTGTGTGTGTGTGTGTGTGTGTGTGTGTGTTTGAGCCAAATCATGTTGCTGCGGGAGAAACGATTAGGAGATGATTTGCCCCAAATAATTTGAGAACATTTGTGAGAGTGCGTGTCAAAAATTGATAGCCCTTTGCATTAATCGGCACCCAATAACTATATCTCCGTTTCCAAAAGGTTGATGAGCCCTGCTTTATATATACAGTACAGTACATGCACAAAATAGTTGGTACCCCTCTGTTAATGAAATAAAAACGCACGAAACAGGCCTGGACAAAAATGATGGTACCCTTAGGGTGGACGCACCCTTCAAACTGAACACAATCGGAGCAGTTTGCTCATGAAGAGTCTGCCAAGACAAGTGCTGAGAGGTGCAGAAGTCTCAATGAAAGTCACAAAAATTGTTTGATTGTCTCAGAAGGTTATACAACAAAAATAACACATAATAATATGTCAGGGTACAATCGTTTTTGTCTAGGCCTGTTTCATGAGTTTGTTAAAGAATTCATTCTCTTGAAACACAATTAAAAACACATGCCCTATTATCATTGTTTCATTGTTATTCATGATCAGATTCAAGTTGTTTGCACTGTCTTTTTTTCTTTCCTTAACACCGAGGTACCAACAATTTTGTGCATGTGGGTAACAGTGTAGACGTAATCCACAACATTGACATTTGAGGACAAAAACTACCCCCATATGTAATATAAACAACAGACATATTTCTCAGTGTAAGGCAACACAGTATGTTTCCTCTTGTCGTAGTGGTGCTGCAGGCGATTTGCATCCCTTTAAGTGCCCCTGGCAGAGATGCGAAAAAGGGCCGAGAAGTTAAAGAGAATACATTCTGGTAGTATAAACAAACTTGAGTCATAATGTTGAGAGATGTTTGGAGCTTTTTACAGAATTATCTGTATGTACGGTCCATATTCGCAAATGTTGCACATGAGGTACAATTGATTAAAAGCTATTGTGATTTGCCTCAGCTTTGTTATGCCTTGGCAGCCCTGATAATTCTAATGTGCATCAGTGCTGATCAGTAATATTTTGCTTTAGTGGTTTCCATATTTCTGCTGCCCTAATTGTAATTAAAAACAGCTGGACCAAAACTCGGTGTCTTACCAGTCTGAGTTTTGTTTTGTATGATGATCCATCTGTACATTCGGTGTACCACTTATCCTCATGTTAGAGGAATCTATGAGCAAAATTGTATCAAGTTTAAAGTTTCATTTAATTTGGGCACGTCTAAATGTTTGGGTGCCTGTCCAGCACCCCCAAATGCCCGTGCACAAAAGCGCCGGGTACCTGGGCGGAGGGCTGCTGAAGTCCACAATTAGCAGGTCAATGCAGGTGGGCGATCAGAGGAGAGAGGGCTAGACTCGGTCACAAAGGGGGAATGAATCGTTCGGGAACAGCGGTTGAACAACAAAAGACGATTTGAGAACATTTGTCGTCCGCAAAACCTGCAACATGTTGATTCAGCGTAGACCAGACAGAAAGGCGCCAACGTACCGGTGGTTCAAAGCTTAAACCAAGGTAACCAATCACTACCGAGGGGCCGGACCGGGGGTGCGGTAATCAAATATCGGGGGCGGTGTTTTTCTTGTATTTTGAATGTGTTACAATAAAAGTTCGAACTCGCGGGGGGGCTCTGAGTGTGATCATCGGGGCAACTACCGTCGTTCGCTCTCAGAGATCCCTCCCGGCGATCTTGAAGACATTTTTCCCTGTATGCCGAGTCATTTCTTTAACTTTGTCCGAGAAAAACTCTGACACCTCACTAGGGTCAACAGCTTGCTGAAGCCTATCCTAGCTGGTTTGGGGTAAGAGGCGGGGTACATCCTGATCTGGTCTTCAACCAATCGCAGGTTGTATTGTTATGTGAGGAGCAGAATTTGGACCCAGAAGGAGACAGGACACAGAAGTGGCAAAATACAAACAACCGAGAGCAGAACTGGGTGCAGCAGTTCATGGAAGAAAACTTGACGCTCTGACGAGTCACTGAGGAACTTGATCATCAGGCCCTGTTCAAATCTAAATGACAATAAAAAGGTGACGGAATAAAGGACCACAGCAACAGAAAACATCTAGGACACAACCCAAAACACAGTCACGACTCACAACATGTATAATGATTTTGTTATCTTTATAACAATAGTACTCTGGTACTTGAATTCAAGGTTGAGCAATGTGAATTCACTCCATCATCCATCCATCCATTTTCCAATCCGCTTATCCTCACAAGGGTCGTGGGGGGTGCTGGAGCCTATCCCAGCTATCATAGGGCGGTAGCCGGAGGACACCCTGAACAGGTTGCCAGCCAATCCCAGGGCACACATAGACGATGGATTAGAATATGGATGGACAGTTAGAAATACCAGTGTTTTCAGAAACATTAAAAAAAAGTTTTGTTTGTTATTAAAGATTCCAAAAAATATATGTGCTGACACCACTTGCTGAAACTTACTAGAAACGGTTGCAAACTTTTGTGTACCATCATTTTGGATTTTGACACTGCATGTGCCCACATTCATTCAATTGCATCAACGTTCATGCCACAGGATTTTGACACTGCATGTGCCCACATTCATTCAATAGCATCAACGTTCATGTCGCAGAAGAAATTACAAACTATGAAGACAATGCAGTGCTTGACTTTTGAACCAGATTCCTTTCAAGTGTCTCATAAGAATATAGTGTTTTGCGTTGGAGCATTGCATATGTATGAATGAACAGGACGGAAAGAAGCTGAAGCAGGATGAAAATTGGCCGTAGTGCTCCTATGAATGATCTCACCTCTTCTGTTGAGACATCTGACCTTGAGCTTATGAGTTGTAATAAAACGTGGCCAAGCACTTCTGAAATTGGTGCACTCACCGTAATGCTTCAGCCGAATTAGCATAAAGCTTTTAAAGTGCCGCGCACATCTCACACATACAAAAATTGCACTGCTGGGATAGTTATGGAGATGATGAGGGTGATGATGAAAACAAAGACCGGAGCCAGGGGTCAATGAGAGGAGGAAGGAAGAAATGTAACAGGAATGTTTAAGTAGGATTATGAGTAGTGATATGTCATAGAGGCACACAAAGTGCTAGTGATGATAGAGAGGATAAAATATTGTTACGGTGAAGGACTAAAATGAGGCCAGGACATCAAAGATTGATGATGACAAAGAGAAGAGAGAGTGAAGAATGGTTAAAAATGAATGTCAATGAAGATGAAGAGAACAATACATTAAATAAAGTTATACAATAAAGCCTGCGACTTTTCATGGCACTATATTTCATGACTAATAATATGACTTGACACACTTCCAGGAAGCAAATATTGTGACGTTTCATTCAGTTAAATGGGCCTTACTACATCTCATCAAGATAAAACCTGAAATGTCACTTCTCAGCACAAGATGTTCTGTTCCTGCAGAGGTGGCAGCTGTGAGTGGGAAGATGAAAAAGACAGAGAGCAGAATACCTCGGTCTGTTTTATTACACTTTTAAATTTCTCCTTTGTGGGCTTCTCACACTCACACTAAGGAAGCATATCTTCCCCATCAAAATCACACGCTTCCTCTCCTGCATTGAGAAAAATACACTATCTTTTTTTGAAGGGCCAATAACAGCAGAACAAACAGGATGTCTCTCTCAGGGCCTGCCAGACAGTCTTCAGCCTTTATTATATTTCAGAAAAGTATTATGTCTCTTTGGAGAGGTGCAGGAATTGGTCAATGGATTCCCCAATGTCGATTGATTGGCCCAAATGCTTGTATATTTTGGGCTGCAGTTCCGATGAACCCTTTCAGGGACAGCAGTTACTGCGGTGGACAGCTTATCATGTTATCAGGTTAGAGGGTGCATGAAAGGGTTCAGAACAATTAGATATGTAAACCACTCGTTCTTCCTGGATTACTTCACAAGCAGGGATATTTAATTCACTAATGACTCAAAAGGGTGAAGCAACCCTGGTGTTGTTAATTTCCACACTTTTTTTACTGTTTAGAGAAGCCTGTTTGTTTGTTTAGGACTTTTTACTTTTCAATAAATCTGAGGATCTGGGAAGTGAGTAAAAGGGCAACATGTTCTCATTATTAAATTATATGTAAAATTAGGACTAATCATTTTCCTCAAATTTATTAACAGAAAGCAAACTTTTTTTTCCCAATAACTCACGGGGAAGAAACATTTTCAGTGACCCTCTAAGCATTGAGACCCAAGGGACGACCATAAGCCCTACCAATAAGTCACATGTGAACTTTTTACATCATTGCTTTTTAACTTGCAGTAGTAATGCTGTTTTAACAGAGCCGCTCTTTAGTACTGTATATGGTATGTATAAGTATGTGTTATGTGTGGTGCAATAATAGTACTGTATCTGTCTGGACACTACGATTACTTTTCTCATGAATGCACCACAAGGTGATGCATGCTATATTAGGCACAGAGATTTTCTCCTTTTAAAATTTATTTGTTTCACATCATTGGTACTGAGGTTTCGGGGAATGTCATACACAGTACAAACCTATAAAGTTTAAGAACGACAAGGACAAAAGCAAAATTGAATCTAGGCATGATAAATCTAAACCAAAGCGCAGTCTCTGCGCATGAGTAGAGTTTTCTTTCTTTCAGGACTCTGATAGACTTTGCACAGTAGAACTAAAGGTATGTGTAATGGGGTGTGTGTGTCTTTTTGTGTTATTGTGGGGTGGAAGTAGCCTTTTCCCGGCCAATCGTGGAGACATTCCTCATTTGTTATAAAAACAAGGCAGTCAGAATGCCATGTTTGACATTGCGGAAACAGAAAGAGACACGCTGGAGTCTGTCCATGACAATGGCTGGTAAACTGCAAGATCTCCCCTTGTGGATGATGTAGTTGGCCGTGCATGTGACATAGGCAAATGGAGATCGCCTTGCACCCACGATCGTGCTTCCGTGTGTGCCCTTCACACCCCATCTCAATAGTTACGATCATCATACGATAATGATTATAATTTGGTCAGGATGTGCCCGTTTTTACACCGAGCACAGTCTACTTTCTGTGACCAAATTACCAGCTGTGTCGGGGACGAGGCAGCTCCATGTGCCGGAATACCCAGACAGGTGCAATATGGCTCCAAAAATGGTAGACTAGCCTTGCACCGACATCAAAATGAAGATAAGCCCGGTTTTATGCCAAGTGCACAGGCATCTGCCTTTAAACATAAGGCCCATAATGTATAATGTATTACTAACAGCTCACTAAATTCACTTTCCAGAGTCTTTAACAATGTCTTTAAGTCTTAACTAAAGCTATATGAGAAAGGCGACCATAACTAATTAGCCAACATTGTCATGCCCCACAAAATAGTGGGTATATGTCAGCATGAGATGAAACAAGAAAAGGCAGACATTTCACTTCGTGAAGCGTAGAGAAAGAAGGGGATGAGAAAAAGGTGCAAGGTGGAGATGAAGGTGAGGGAGGAACAATCAATTCTCTGACATCTCCAAATGTGCACTTGATGATGCATACATAAGCAGGGCAGAAGTGGTCTGCAGGGAGTGGAGCATGGGGGGAATGTGGTGAAGGATGAAATGGGGGAACAAGGGTGGGAGGATGGAGAATGGAAGACTAGATTAATGAAGAGGAATTGGAAGGTAAGATGATAAAGAGTGAACCAAGTTGAAGACAAGATTACGTCCGTTCATTTGGGTTTCAAACAGCGGATGGTTCTCAGGGGACTTGCCGGTCATTCTTGGTCCCCGTGGAGGAAATGAGTGAGTAAATGGACAGAATGAAAAGGTGAATACTAATGACGAGTAAGCAGGAGTCGTTGCTGTTCTCTTCCTCATCATATTTGTTGCAATGGCACAGCTGGTCAGTCAGTTTTAGAAATCTGCACAAATAGGAATTATTCTGTTGGTGTAATTTTTTTTTTCTATAAACATCGTATTTCTGGACCACACAAAGTTTGAATCTAATAATCGTTCTGCATAATAAGTGTGGCAATGAAAATATTAAAGAACGGATGCCATCAACTATTTTATAGCCTTCTTGTCCTCAGTAAGGTCTTAGGTAAGCTGGAGCTTATCCCTGCTGATATTGAGTGAGAAGTGGGATACACACTGACTATGTTGATATTGACCTTAATCCAAATATTAACTGCATCTAAACATTTTTCTGATCCGCTTTATCCTCACAAGGGTCGCGGGGCATGCTGGAGCCTATCCCAGCTGTCTTTGGGCAGAAGGCGGGGGACACCCTGAACCAGTTGCCAGCCAATTGCAAGGCACACGAAGACAAACAACGATCCGCGCTCACACTCACACCTAGGGACAATTTTGAGTGTTCAATCAGGCTGCCATGCATATTTTTGGAATGTGGGAGGAAACCGGAGTACCCAGAGAAAACACACGCAGGCATGGGGAGAACATGCAAACTCCACACAGGAAGGCCGAAGCTGGAATCAATGTGCGGTACCTCCGCACTGTGAGGTTGACGCGCTAACCACTTGACTACCGGACCGCCCTGCATGTAAACAGATTCACTGAAATGGTCGGCAGCCAATCTCTGGGTGCATATGGACAAGAAGCATTCACGCTCATTCACACTTATGGACAACTGAGAGTCTGCATGTTTTAAGATTGCAGGGGAAAGTCTGAGTACACACAAGCATGGGGAGAACATTCAAACGCCACACGGGGCCTGAACCGATACTGTATTCGAACCCAGATAAACACATCAGAGAAGGCTAGGTTGGTCCCAGAGCTGAAAGAATCTGAAATCCATCAGTGATGAACTCAGCTCTGGCTGAGGAAGCAGTGCGAGGAAGCT